GGGCCGCCCCACAGCCCCCACCCCCCCCAACCCCGGGGGGGCAGCCCCGGGGGGCGGGGCAGGAACCCCAGCCAGGGAAACGGGCAGGGAGCCCAGGAAGGGAAGGGGATCCGAGGGAACCATGGCAAGGGAAGGGCAGGCAGGAAGGAAAGAGGCAGGAAACAGCCAGGAAGTAACAGGCAGGGAAATGGCAGCCAAGGAAGCAGCACCCAAGGAAGTAACATTTAAGGAAGTAATATCCAAGGAAACAGCATCCAAGGAAGCAACACCCACAAGGAAATGGCATTCAAGGAAGTAACATCCAAGGAAGTAACACCCAAGAAAATGGCACCCAAGGAAGTAACATCCAAGGAAGTAACATTTAAGGAAGTTACATCCAAGGAAACAGCATCCAAGGAAGCTACATCCACAAGGAAATGGCATCCAAGGAAGTAGCACCCAAGGAAGTAACATCTGAGGAAGTAACAGTCAAGGAGGTAACATCTGAGGAAGTAACAGTCAAGGAAGTAACACCCAAGGAAATGGCACCCAAGTAAGTAACATCCACAAGGAAATGGCATCCAAGGAAGTAGCACCCAAGGAAGTACCATCCAAGGAAACAGCACCCAAGGAAGTACCATCCAAGGAAAGAGCATCCAAGGACGAGGCACCCAAGGAAATGGCACCCAAGGAAGGAGCACCCAAGGAAGGAGCACCCAAGGAAAGCCTCAGCACTTCCTACACCAGGACAGGAGCTGGAAGCTCCCAACTGTCACCAGCCCAGCTACTGGAGCTCAGCCCTGCTGAAGATCTCCTCTTCCTCCTCCTCTTCCTCCTCCTCTTCCTCCACCTCCACCTGCACCTCCTCCTCCGAGCACTCTCCATCGTACAGCTCAGCCATGGACTTTTCCTGCTGGGAACTGAGGGGCTGGTCCAGGTGTCTCAGCCACTCTGGGGTGGTTTGGTTCTGATCTGATCCAGCCCAGACCTGGGAAGAGGCAGGGAAGGTGTGGGAGGGGGCAGGGCTGGGTTGGGTGGCAGGGGGGGCTGCTCCCTGAGCTCACCTGCTTTCTGGCCTGGGGCTTGTGCTTCCTCCATCCCCATGGCAGGAGGGTCTGAAGGAACCTGGAAAACCTAAAGGAAAAAGAAGGATGAAAGGGCAAAGGTGGTGATGGTGGCAGGTGTGGAAGGATGTTCCCTGCACCCTGCCTGGCACGGGAGCTGTGCTGCTGGGTCTGGGCTCTACCCAGACAGCTGGGGGTGGTGAAGGAGGACATGGAGGGGCTGGAGAGTGTCCAGGGAAGAGACAAGGAGCTGTGTCCACACCAGCTGTGGTGTGGGCAGCAGGAGCAGGGCAGGGATCATCCCCTGTGCTGGAACTGGTGGGGCCAGACCTGGAATCCTGGGGTGAGTTCTGGGCCCCTGGGGACAAGAAGGACACGGAGGGGCTGGAGCGTGTCCAGGGAAGGGCAAGGGAGCTGGGGAAGGGGCTGGAGCACAAGTGTGAGCAGGAGCAGCTGAGGGAGCTGGGGGTGTCCAGCCTGGAGCCAAGGAGCTGAGGGGAGACCTGCTGGCTCTGCAGCTGCCTGAGAGGAGGTTGGAGCCAGGGGGGGTCGGGCTCTGCTCCCCAGGAACAAGGGGCAGGAGCAGAGGAACCGGCCTCAAGTTGTGCCAGGGGAGGCTGAGGTTGGACCTTGGGAACAGTTTCTCCCTGGCAAGGGTTGTCAGGGCCTGGCCCAGGCTGCCCAGGGCAGGGGGGGAGTCCCCATCCCTGGAGGGGTTTCCAAGCCCTGGAGATGGTGCTGAGGGACACGGGGCAGGGGTGGCCTGGGCAGGGCTGGGGGAAGGGTTGGGCTTGAAGGTCTTTCCCAACTAGGATTCCATGATTCTATGGTGAGAAGCCCCAGGAGGAAGGGGAGCAGTTACCATCTCAGGGGTGCTCCTCTGGTGCTGTAGGGCTGGGAAGCAGCTGCAGGTTTTTGGGAGCAAACCTGGTGATGGAGAGAGAGACAAACTCATCACATGGGATTTTTTCCATCACACTCTGCAAAACAAGGGAAGCCAAAATGTTCTTCTTCCAACTGAGCCTCTTAGATACCTGAGCCCACCTGGACCAGCAGCCACAGTTTTTAGGAAGAGCCCAAATCCTCCCTTTTATCTGCTTCTGGAATGATCTGAACCCCCAGAGTTCCCCCTAATCTCTGCAATGTTGATGTCTGTCCTTTCTTATCTCTGCAGGGAACTTCCCCGCTCTTCAACCCCAGCCTGAACCATCTGGGTTGGCTTTTAAAGAAAGAAAAGCTGTTGGGTTTGGTTTGGTTTTTTTTTTTACCAAGAAGGGGCCCAAAGGGAAGTTGAAACCCTCTGGGTCCTTCACCCCTGCCCATCCCTGACCCACTTGGAGCAGAAAGACTTGATCTTGGTAAGAGGAAAGGCAGAAGGGGCAGAGGTGGGTGGCTGGAAATGGGCAGGAGAGAAGAGTAGGGTCCTGAGGGACTGGGAGGGGGTCCTGAGGGAGTGGGATGGGGCCCTCATGGACTGGGAGAGAGTCATGAGAGACTGGGAGAGGGTCCCGAAGGACTGGGAGGTGGTCCTGAAGGACTGGGAGAGGGTCCTGAGGGACTGGGAGAGGGTCCTGAGAGGCTTGGAGGGGGTTCTGAAGGACTGGGAGAGGGTCCTGGGGAATGGGATGGGGTCCTCATGGACTGGGAGATAGTTCTAAGAGACTGGGAGAGGGTCCTGAAGGACTGGCACAGGGTCTGAGGGACTGGGAGAGGGTCCTGAGGGGCTTGGAGGGTGTCCTGAGGGACTGGGACTGGGTCCTGGGGACTGGGATGGGGTCCTCATGGACTGGGAGAGAGTCATGAGAGACTGGGAGAGGCTCCTGAAGGACTGGGAGAGGGTCCTGAGGGACTGGGAGAGGGTCCTGAGAGATTGTGAGATGGTCTTGATGGACGGGAGGGGGTCCTGAGAGGGTCACTGGGATAAGGGACTGGGAGAAGGTCCCAAGGGCCACTGGGAGAGGGTTCAGAGGTACTAGGAGAGGGGCTGGGGGTGACCAGGTGACTCGAGGGCTTGTGCTCCAGCTTGGCTGAGGGTGCCTGGCTGGGCAGTTACCAACTCACCTCCATCAGGAAAAGGGCCATGAGAGTGATCAGGATGTTGGAGCACAACAAGATGGCCAAGAGGAGCCTGTCCCTGCTGGGCTGCTCTGGTTTCTACTGGGAGAAAAGGAGAGAAAATCAGGAGGGGAGAGAGAGTTGTTCCTTCTCTGGTTGCCCAGGGAAGCTGTGGCTGCCCCATCCCTGGGGGTGTTGAAGGGCAGGTTGGATGGGGCTTGGAGCAGCCTGGGCTGCTGGGAGGTGTCCCTGCCCATGCAGGGGGTGGGACTGGATGAGCTTTAAGGTCCCTCCCAACCCCAACCATTCCATGATTCCATCATTCTATTCCATTCCCAGAAGGACACATCCAGCAATTCCCTGTCTCTCTCTCTTACCTTCCCACCTGCTCTCCTGGCCTGGACCACGAGTTTGGAAACATTCCCTTCCAGGAGACACTGGTCCAGGAAAGCAGAAGCTCCTTGGTCATTTTCTCTCTGGCTGAGCAGCTTGATGAGCTGCCCAGTCTTGGAGAGCAGTTGTGTGCAGGGCAGCTGGAGCTGGGGGAGCCCACAGTCCATCCTCAGGGCTCGTGCTGTGCCAGCCAGGAATGTCCTCAGGGATTCATCTGGGACCAGCCCACGCAGGTGACCATCCACCTGGGCTTCCCAGAGATCTCCTGCAACCAGGGAGTCCTCAGGGCTGTCCGAGCTCCCTGCTTGATTGAGGGAGCTGGATCCTTCCTTTGGTGGCTTCCAGGGTGTTCCTGTGGTGGGAGGGAAGGCTGGTGAGGGCCCAGCTGGGGAGGAACTCGGGCTGCTCTTGCCTGACAGGTCATAGAACAAGTGCAGGTTGGTTTCCAGTCTCTGCTCTGCTTCACTTTCCATCGGGGGGGGCTCTTCCCCAGGATTCCCACTGCCAAAGGTCTGGTAGAGATGCTGGTTGCTTCTGTAGAGGGATGGGTTGTCCCCCTGCTTGTGCTTCTTGTAAGTGCCAACGTGGTCCTGCCTTGGAGTTGGTGGTTCCTCTACATCTTCTCCATCCTCCTCATCTTCCACCCCCTGAGTTTTCTTGGTCTGTTCCACAGCATCAGAATAATTGAGACTCTTAAAAGGCCTGGAGGAATGAGGGGTCTCTGCTGGGGAGTGTGGAGGGGAACGTTTGGAAGGAGCTGTAGACCTTCTGTGGTGTCTGAAGACAGAGAGGTCTTCCCTGGGGTTCCAACCAGAGCCAAGCTGCTTCTGCACCCAGCCTGTGGTTGTCTCTCCCTTCACTGCTGGGTTCTCCTGCACCTTGGCCTTCTGCACAGCAGGCACTTGGAGGGTGTTTCTCACACTTCTAGCCTGGTGCAGCTTCTTCTTCAGCTCAGCCCTGAGCCTGTTTCCTACAAAACAAGAGTTTCCTGACCTCAGTTTCACTGTCCCAGCCCACGTGCTGCAGGTTGTGCAGCATCTCCAGCAGCTCCTTACCAGTTTTGCCTTCCTGCCTGGATGGGGGCTGAGGAGAATGTGAATTTGTTCTAGAAACACCATCATTTGGATCACTGAGATCACCAGCAGTGCTGCTCAGGCTCAGGTCTACCACAAAAGTTATGGTTTTGTGGTCTCCAAGTGAAGGCTCCTTGGGCTTGACGCTCAAGACCACGCTGGAGTTGAGTGTCCTGGCTGGTAGTGCTCCCTGGATTCCTCCTTTCCCCTCTGCCAGGGGATCTGTGGGAGCTGGAACACACCAAGAGAGCAGATCAATGTCATGAGAAGCTTCCTGCCAACATGCAGGGGCAAAGGGTTCACTCTGAGCAGCAGGAGCTTCTCCATAAGACAAGGGAGTGTGTGAACTGAAGGGAAAGTTGTGTTCAATCCATCAGATTATCTCATGAGGGCAGAACACAGAGAGGTTTCTTTTCTGGTGTGTCCCAGGGCTCTGTTTGGATTGGTGGGAAACATCCCAGGGGAATGGGTTTGCTGTTTGGGGAGTTTCCCACAGCTTGATAAAGTGTTGAGTTGCTAAAATCACCATCAAGCTTTTCAAGTCAGTGACCCTGGAGAGCAGAAGACCCAGACACAGTGTTTGTCCCTGGATGTTTAACCCTTCTCCCTGTGGACAGGAAAACCTGGGATATTCCACATTAAAGAATCACAGGGGTTGGAAGGAGATCACCCATCCAAGCCCTGCCAGAGCAGGATCCCCCAGAGCAGATCCCACAGGAACACGTCCAGGAGGGCTGGGAATGTCTCCAGGGATGGAGACTCCCCCACCTCCCTGGGCAGCCTGTCCCAGGGCTCTGCCACCCTCCCAGCAAAGCACTTTCTCCTCATCTTCAGCTGGACCCTCCTGGGCTCCACTTGGTGCCCATTGCCCCTTGTCCTGTCCCTGGGCACCACTGGGAAGAGTCTGGCCCCATCCTCCTGCCACCCCCTGCAGATATTGATCAGCACTGAGCAGATCCCCCCTCAGCCTCCTCCTCTCCAGGCTCAACAGCCCCAGCTCTCCCAGCCTTTCCTCCCAGGCAGATGCTCCAGCCCCCTCAGCATCTCAGTGCCCTGGGCTGGACTCTCTCCAGCAGCTCCTTGTCCTTCTGCAACTGGGCAGCCCAGAACTGGGCCCAGTTCCCCACATCCCCAGGCCTCTGGGTTGTTGTCTGCAAGGACCTGCAGCCCAAGCTGTTCCTCTGCTGGTGGCTTCTGCTCCATCTCCCAGGCCTGGAAGAAGTGGGACACGTGGGGAATGGACCCAGAGGGACACAACCAGCCCAGGAGATCTCCTGCCCCACCAAAGGGCACACACCAGGTCTGCAGAGCTGAGATAAGTAATGGAGCAAGGCTGCACCACCTTATCTCTAACCCTGCCCTGCAGGGACAGATGCTCAAGAATATCTACAGATTATAAAGGTATTTAAGCTTTTTTTTTTTTTTTTTTTTTTCCCTGTTAAAATGACAGGAAATTGGCCAGAAAAAGACCTTTGAGGATCTAACCCTAAGTGGCTCAGCAACCTGGTCTGACCTGTGATCAGGTCAGGGTCACCATTCCACATCCAGTTTGGAAAGGAGTGGCTTGGGGACCTTGAGGACTGGAGCTCTTTGCAGTTTGGCTCTGCCTGGGGCAGGAGGACACTGACCCTGGGCCAGGGTGGAACAGGACAGGGCTCTGCTCTCCCTGCACCAGCTGAGGAGACAAGAATGAGGCCTGGGGATCAGCTAGGAGATGGGGGTTACTGGTCCTCTGAGACCTACACGTTGGGAGGAGGGTGGCAAGGAAACCAGGTGATTTTCCAAGGGCACTCAGGAAGGTTTTGGAACCTGTATGTCCCAGATCCCCCCCAGGGTGCTCCTGCAGAGCCTGCATCCATGCTGACTTATGGCTTTGGGGGTTACCAGCTCAGCAGGTGCCATCTCACCTGTGGAATATACCCATGGGCAGAACCTGTGGTCTGTGCTGGGGCTGCAACCCCTCTTGGGGCTGAGCTGTGACCAGCCAAGGTGTGGTGGCACTGAAAGGGATCTGGAGGCTGCCAGGGGGAACTGAGAGAACCTTATAATAGAATCCCAGACTAGTTTGGGTTGGAAGGGACCTTAAAGCTCATCCAGTCCCAACCCCTGCATGGGCAGGGACACCTCCCACCAGCCCAGGCTGCTCCAAGCCCCATCCAACCTGCCCTTCAACACTGCCAGGAATGGGGCATGTAAAATCAACACACTTTTTAAACTATTAAAAGATGAATTAAATTACACATAGCCCTGAGCTGTCATTGAATCAATTGTAAGTATTTACAAAGCTCACAAGAAACCCCTTGCAGCCCAGGACTTGAGGAGCTGCTGAGAACAACCCTGTGCAGGTGAAGGAAGGAGACCCTCACAGGGAGGCCTGGAAACACCCATTTTTTCATCATATTGCCCAGAGCAGGCAAAGCTAGCAACATTTGTCAAGAAAGCAAGCACGTTTCTCTGCAGAAGAGTGTAGATAATCAAGGATGACTTCAACCAGCTCCCAGGTTTTGAAGAACATGGCAACCAGAACCTGACTGGCCACACATCTTTGCCATCAACACAGCAGGTTTTGATAAATCAATTTGAAATGCAGACCAAGTCTGGATACATTTTTTTTTTTTCCCCCCTGCATCTGGTTAATTTAAAGCCCATTTAAAAATACCAGTTTAATGTACTTTGATTGGGTTTTAATTTGTATTCAAGTGAGCTTGACATTAATCATCAATTAAAGATACATCACCTGGTGTGAATCAAATCCACAACCTGAAAATCCTAGTAAATGTAATGCTAAGCTGTGTGACTGCTTAAATAAACACATATCAAGGAAAGGTTTCATTCTTGGCAGTGTTATGAAGTGCAAGGGATGGTATTTTTTAAGATGCCTTCTGAGGGAGGGACTTTGAGGGAAGAATGCTCAAAGCCCCATCCACCCTGCCCTTCACCACTGCCAGGGATGGGGCAGCCACAGCTTCCCTGGGCAACCTGGGCCAGGCTCTCACCACCCTCACACCAAAGAATTTCCTCCTCATGTCTCACCTCAATCTCCCTCTCCCAGTTTTCATCCATCCCCCTCATCCCATCCCTCCCTGCCCTTGTCCCAAGTCCCTCCCCAGCTTTCCTGGAGCCCCTTCAGGCACTGGAAGCTGCTCTAAGGTCTCCCTGGAGCCTTCTCTTCTCCAGGCTCAACACTCCAGCTCTCCCAGGCTGTCCCAGAGCTGCTCCAGCTCTTGAATCATCTCTGTGGCCTCCTCTGGCCTCTCTCCAACAGCTCCATGTCCTTCTTGTGTTGGGGGCTCCAGAACAGGCCCCAGCCCTGCAGGGGGTCCCACCAGAGCAGAGCAGAGGGGACAATCCCCTCCCTTAACCTGCTGGTCACGCTGCTGGTGACACAGCCCAGGCCAGGGGTGGGTTCTGGGCTGCAAATCTGGGGGGGTTTCTGAGCAGCCAGTGCCTTGCAGCACTTGGGAATGGTTCTGCGAACACGTGATCTCCTTGGCTGCTGCTCTGTGTGGGTTGGAAGTGTCTGTGTTTGTTCCTTGCTCCTCAAGATAGTTTGGACACAGAAGATACTTGTCATCACTCGTGACTTTTCAACCCTTGTTTTTTCCAAATCTTGTGCTCCAAGGGGAATTTTTTGTGCCTGTGGCTCAGTTTGAGGCCTCCCAGGTCTCACCTGAGCTGCCTTTAGACTGATCCAAGGAGCCTCTTGAGAGTTTGCTTGGATTTGGGATCCCTGGATCTGGCCCAGGGGCTGGGCTGGTGCCATCAAGGTGGCCAAGGCTGCTTGGGAACCCCCCCAAGATGCATCCAAGCTACAGCAGCTCCTCAAGCTGGAGGAAAAGGGGCAGATTTGGTGTTTCCATCAGGGATCCTACCGTACTGGGGAGCACTGGTGAGGCACAGGTTCTCACAGTGGAACTGGATGGTCCTGCAGGGGGTCTCAATGGTGTGTTTCCCCTGGCAGAAGCAGCAGGCTGAGGCACTGGGCAGGTTGCTAAAGACAAAAGGTTACTGGAGCAAAACTCAGCATCTCAACCCATCTTTCCCAGTTCAACTCAGTTAACACACATCATAGTTTTGCTTGGATTTCTTATACAGCTCTGGAAAACTTCCCACCTCCCAGTTCCAATGGAATAGATGTTCTCCAGGTTGCTAAGAGAGGTTATAAATAGAAGATGAGCTTCTCTGGTGGCATCAAAATGTTGATTTTTACCTTTGAGAATGGAACCAATCCCCAAAAAGCAGCTTGAAACAGAAACACACCCCACCTTCCTGTTAAACTTCCTCTTGAAAAACCTGGGGATTGTCCTGGAAAGGTGAAATCCCACCTCTTAGCAGGTGGTTCTCAAAAGTCAGTAGCAAACCTTTGGCTTGTGGGGGTTGTTCTGATGCAGTGGTTGGTTTCCCAAGCAGATCCTTGTCCCAGCAGTTATGATCTGCTGGAGGAAGGGACCCTGAACCCAGGTACTCACAGTGTTTCCAAGCTGGTTGTTGTCAGGAGGAGAGTGAGCAAGGTCTGCTGGGTCACTCCTGTTGCACCCAGGTCTCTGAAAAGATTTGAAAAACCACCTTTAATTTTCAGGCAACATGATGAGGAGTCTGAGCTGAGAACCAGAGCAGATGCCTGGTGATTGTGGTGGTGTTTGTAGGGGGATCCAGTTCTGCCTCATCCAACAGGAATGACTCAAATCCCTGTTGTCCTGCTGGTTTGGTCCTTCCTACCCATGGGGTTTGAACCAGGAGGAGATCCTGCAGGTTTGTGAGAGATGAATGCAAAGAGAAAGGATTTCCCAGCTCAAAAATCCTCCTCCTGCTCTCCCAGGGGTGAAGATCCAGTCCTTGCAAGGAGATACTTCTGGCCCAAGAGGATGAATCCACTTTGACCTTGGAAAGAGATGCCAGTGAAAGGAGAGAAGGTTTTCTGTGGGATAGTGGGGCTGGGAGCAGGAAGGATCTCTGCAAAAACCT